AGTGTGGTTGTTGTTGTTGTAGCTGAAATCTTGGCTAAATGAATGCCTGACTGGCTAGCTGACTAGCTGACTGCCACATGTTTTCACATGATTTCCACACGATGGACAGGTGAAAAGCAAAGCCCAAGTCCGAGTCGCAGCTAAATTCACTGGAGCAAGAAAAGAAAACGTACCAGGAGTAAGCGAGATGGTGGTACAGGAAGAGGGAGAGGAACACGAGGGATGGCGAAGTCTGTCTCTTGGCCAGGTTAACAACTGACAGGCTGAAAGTCAAGCACAACATTTGAGACGTTGTCTGGGTAAATTTTAACTGGCAGCGACAACAGCTGCGGGGAAGTTTATCTCCAGCCCCCCTCCCTCTCTCTCTTTCTCTTTGTCTGTGTGCTTCTCTTTCTCGTAGAGTTTTCTCACCTGCACTCAATTGAACTATTTGCCCAGTCTTCAGTTGCTTCTTGCAATTTCTATTCAAGAGCACAAAATTACTTAATAGCATTTTGCACGTTTTTATTGTTTTTTGAAACTGCAAACATGAATAATTAAATGCGAGTATCCTAATTACTTGACTGACTAGCAGATACTCTACCTTTTAATGCCAATTGTTATTTCTATAAATAAAATTGCTAGAATATTCAAGTCAAGTCATGACCACCAACAATATACACACACTGTACGCCCTGCCACGCCCACACTCTTGAGCTCAATTGGTTTAATGAGTGTAGTGTGTATAGGCGCACCAAGCCAAAAACAAACCCAGTACACAGAGCGAAATAATAGAGTAGAAGGTGGTGGAAGGAGAAATCATACAAAAGGCGCATAAATTAGCAATGGTCTGTAATTTCGAAAAAGGGTCGTCAACAGCTCTTATAAATGTAACTGGGGTGAGGGCTGTGTGGCAAGTGTCTTGCAAAAAGTAAAAGAAAAAGGCGAGAAGGAGGCGTGGCAGGGCAAGAGGAGGCGTTGTGGGGTTCAGTCACAGTCGGCGTGGCCGCGACGCATTCATTAGTTTAATATTAAAATAGTCATAATAAAAATTGTAGATAAAAGTCTGTGAAACAATGTGCAACAACAGCAAACAACCTGATGAAGAATAAGAAGCAGAAGCAACAGAAGAAGGAGACGAAGAACAGCAGCAATAGCAACTCAAAACGGAGTCCAAGTCGCGCCAGTCAAGTACAAAGGGCCAAGATTTATGAACTGCACTGAGTAAGACTTGTGTGTGTGTRACTGTAGACGAGACAGTGCTTGTGTGTGCTTGTGCATGAGGAACTGTGTGTGTGCATATGCGTGTGTGTGTGTACTCCCCTCTCAGCACTCGCATTCTCATCCCCATTTCAAGTCGCGCTCTAAGCGGAGCAATGAACTATTTACGAATATGCCCAACTGCTCAAGGCATATACATTCACACACTCACACATATGTATTATACATATACATGTGCATACAATCACACACTCACAGTCGTCTCCTACTTCTAGCTGAACTAGGCATTCACTCTCGTAGGCGTGAATATGAATGTAAATGTGAATGTGAATGTGCGACTGCCGAGACGCGATTCTTGAGATACATTTGTATCTTATGGCAGGCATATAATAATATTCACTTATAAGCCTGCATATTTATTTATGCACTCGACAGCCGATAAATGACCTTGAAGCGCTTGAGGGATCTTTGAAGTTTATATGAATAAAACAGTTCCCAGGCGCACAGAGCAAATTGCTTGAGCAGCTGGAATATTAAAAGTGTTTAATAAATGCTAAGCCTAATTGCTTTATCTTTAATAAATGCAGACATAAATAAAGAGTTTGTATTAAAGAACAATTTTATTGTAGATTTAAGATTTAAGGAATTTAAATTTATGAATTAATAAGTTTTTAAATTGGCTCTAGAATATTAATTTGAATACTATAAGTAATAATTTGATTGTGTGCAAGGAACTAAAGAAATGTGTCTGTTATTGCCTGTAGATTATTGAAGACTTATAATTACACAATTTTTTTTATAAGTAAGCTCTTCTCTTTCTAGAATACGTTTGGAATATTATATATAATTGCTGCGAATTGTCTTCCGAATCTTATGATTCAAACCATATATATAAGTGTATATGCATCCAATATTGTTCCTTAGCTTCTCTGAGCAGCCATCAATCTACCTATACGCACACAGATTATCTACCATATGCAGAAGTTCTTTGACTTTTCGCGTTAGTTTACATTTCCTTGTGTATACATACATCTATATATATATGAATTTATCAGATGCTGTCATCTTTGACATTTGAGTACAAGGGAAGCGAGAGGCTCTTCTTAATGCTTATCTATATATCATATATTTTTAATTATATATACAGATATGTATATAATGTCAGCCGACCCCTCTGAGCACAGTTACAGCTGCGATTTATTCTTATGAATGGTATCTGTATCTTTATATATAAATATAAACATATATTATTGCATTTCACTCTGTGCTAGTACACTGTTTGCCCTCGCTTGAGGAACACCCTTCGACCAAATAGACTCGTGCGACTTGTGGCAAGTATTTGCCTCAACAACAACAATACTAACAGCATCAGCAATAATATCTAGAGCAACTGCAACAGTTTCTTCCGTTTACGTTTCCCTCTTCTTACTTCTCCACCTTATTTTCCCTCTCATACTTCCTCTTCCTTTTTTTCCCTCATACCTCGCCTTCTTCCTCTCTATTCCCCCCACACCCTTCTCCTTGTTTGGCTCATTGGGGGCTGTTAAATTTAGTGCCTCCACTTCAATTTTAATTACGGGCATTGTTGAATGCGCGACCGACCCAGACCGTAGCAACTGCAGCGCCCTCAGCAGCGGAGACTGCTCTCCCCTCACTCTCTGGGTCTCAGCTAAACAGATTTCCATTTCCATTCGCGTAACTGTTGCACACATGTTGTTGGGGGCCTTCGTCCCAGCCCCCGTCTTTGCCCGCTTCTCTTCGTTGCGATTCGTTTCTTTGTTTGGTAGACAATTTAACATATTTGGGAATTCATTGCACTTTCTTTTATTAATACGCACTCGAGAAGTCGAGCAGCAGTACCCCCACTCGCTCTCTCTCCCTCTCCCTCGCTGCTCACGCATTCTGTCTGTTCCTATTTGTATGAAACATGTGTAAATGCATGTTTCTTTGACTTCGACTTTCCCTCTTTACGCCCTCTCACTTCATGTGGCTCATTCTCTCACTGCTTCGATTTCTTGTAAACTTGAACATTTCTTCTCTTAGCCTCACACACACACATACTCTCTCTATCTCTTTCTCTCACTCGCCCAGTCTTCGATTTGCTGTAAATTTGAATAGTTCTTTTGCTCTGGCTTTGGCTCTGCGCCTAAATTTAGTCGCATTCTTCACTATTTTTGTGGCACGCATCTGCGGGCTGCCGCTTGGCTTTTTATTGCTCCAATTTTGGTATGCCATAGCCATAGCCATTGATAAATATAGATCCCCTACAAGATGTCAATGGAAATGGAAATGGGAATCCAAATGGAAATGGATCCGTCGCAGTTCTCAATGCGCTCAGTTCTCAGTTCTCAGTTCGTGACGGCGAATTGAAATTCATCTGTTAATCGGCACATCTGCTTGTCACATGAGCAACGCTTCAGAGGGAGCTTGACTATAAGGGGGCGAGCGCAAAGAGTGTCAGAGAGAGAGAGAGGGGTGCAAGAGGCGCACAGTCAGCTGCCACGTGTGCCGAGGTTTGGCCTTAAGTAGCTGCATTTAGCATTGACAGCATCTACAGCAGCCAACAACTTTTAATAGACGAGCAATTTCGCAATGCACCCGCCCGCCCGCATGCGGCGCCCCCTCCTCCAGCACTCATAAATTGCAAGCAAAATGAGCAGCGCGCGCGAGCGCCAAATCAAAGCGATGACAATAACAAATAGATGCATAGATGCGAGAGTTGACCCAAGAGTTGTGAACGATCAAAGCGAATGCAAGAAATGTTAAAAGTAATGAATCTAAAAGGAGTCTGAATTGAATTTAAAATATAAATATCTTGACGGCAGATATATATTTAAATAAATAAATAGTTATTTATTTGGCTTACATTTAAATTTTATCCATATGTGTCCTAGAAAGTCTCTTGGCGCCCCTCGCATATTGTTGTTAAATATTTCGCACAATCTTTTTATTGTTGCTTTTGAGTGGCTCCAAAGCAGCTTGTGGCACCGCAAAGCAGTTGCACAAATTGCGCAAATTGGTTTGAAACAAATGTAAATATTTATTAAAATTGCACAAATGCTAAGCGCGGTGCACCCACCAGCCACCCAACCACCCAGCCACCCACCAAGCAATCAGTCAGCTTGATGATGATAAAAAAAAAAGCTGATCGAGGCATGTTCGGAGTGGGCGTGGGGCAACAGATCATGTGACTGTCAAACGGGCAGTTCATAACTGGCAAATGCAGCCGCTGCCTCTGCCTTTGCCTTATCTTCAGCTCAAGCTCTGCCTCTGTTTCTCTCTCTCTCTCTCTCTCTCTCTCTCTCTCCCTGTCACATTGAATCGCTCTTTGCTGCGTCTTTGTCTTCTCTGATTATCGCTCGATGCAAAAATATTTGAGCGTATGACTAATCGATGCAAAACGTTGCCATCTTCGCATTTATTTTATTATTTTTAATTTTTGTTTGTTTTGTATTTTTTGTATAATTTTTGGTTATATTTTTTATGGCCGTGGTGTGCTTGATGCTTGATTTATGTGCAATCGGAATCGGAATCGGAATGGGGAATTGCAATGGGGAATTTGGAATTGAAATGCTCATGAGTCGGAAAGTTTCACAAGTGTGTGACTGACGACAACTGAGTATTTCTATATCCTAGACCCATTTAAAAATATATAGCAGGGGCATACTTTGGCTCTGATACCAAATGCCGCAAGCTGAATTTGTAAAGCACATCTCATGAAATTTTGGTAAAAAATTTTAATAACAGCATTTCAGACTGCCGGTTAACCGTTGATTGATCACCTGATTCGCACCCACAGGGCTCTCGAAATCGACAGCAGAAGTCAGCAATGCAGAGCAGCTCGAAATGCTGAAGCAAACCTGAATGACACTCGCTGAAAGTTGAGTGTGAATAGATAGTGCCAATTGCAATATAATATAGATCAGTCAAGATATCAAGGTATTTATATATATCTATATTTATATCTACATCTACTTTCAGCTGATGTCATTGCACTGCAAACAATGAAGAGCAGCTTGAAGTGTTCTCATTTACTTAAAGTCAATTTCGGTTCCCAAAAATCTGTATAACGCTGACAGCAAAGTCGAAGAAATTGTTATTGTGTTGTCGACGTCGTCGTTGTTGTCATTATCAGCAGTCACAGCAACAGCAACAACAACAACAGCAACAACAATAAAATGAACTACAAGCTAAAAACAAAGTCAATGCTGAAGACGCTTCAGCGATTTTCACATTAGATTAAATACTCTTTCGACTTTTCGTTTTTTGAGGTCAAACTGAAGAAAACGCCCCAACAGCAGCAACATTTTTGTTGCTAATACAATAATTGTCGTTGTTGTTTTTGTTGTTGCCAAGCAGAAGCGCTGCGGAAGCGGATGCAAAAAAAAAAAAAACCAACGACAAGCTGGAAAGCTAAACATGAAGTGCCAGGGCGAGTGACGATCGCAAATAGATACGCCTGTCCAGCCACAGCAACGACAGCAATAATAACAACAACCACCAGCAACAAACAACAAGCATAATAATAATAACTGAAGCAGCTAATTTCTCAGCATAAGAGAGAAACGAAGCAACCAACGCAACAACCTTGCCAGCAGCTACAGCAACAACAACAAATGAATTTCCATTGTCTTAAGTTTCAGACTCCTCGAGTTGTTGTTGTTGCTGCTGCTGCTGCTGCCGTTTGCTGTGGCACCCTAAAGGCCAAGATCGTCGTCATATTAACGTCCAAAAGTCAACGTCAACGCTTGTCGGCGGCTTTTCAAAAGCCCAACATGTGTGTGTGTGTGCGTATAATGTAAATTCCGCAAAGTGCGATGGACAAGCGAGGCTTGGAAATTAAAATAGGGTCATTAAGCGAACTCTTCGAAGGGACAGAGGCAGCGGCACACGCAGAGGTGAGAGCTATCAGCTGTCAGAGTCAAGAGAGACGAGAGACGGGTGAGTAGAGGCGGCAGACGTAAGACGCTGGCTCGTCTGGAGCCAAACGAATTTCTCAACAATTATTTTGAAATGTTTTTCAATCTACAACAACAATAACAACGACAGCAACAGCAACAACAACAACAATAATCACAAAGTGTGCGACCTGCATTAGTTTTTCCATAAACAAAAGTGTGAAAAGCGATCAAGCAACAACAACCGCTTGAAACCGACTCGAGGCAAATTTTATAATTATGATTGCAGCACTCAATGTATCTGCTGTTGTTGTTGTTGCTGTTGCTGTTGTTATTGGAGTCTGCTTGCATTGGCCTGACATTGGTTGCATTGTAATATAATTATTCAGACAGCACTTTAAAGTCAATACAGCTTCAGGCGTTGATCCACTGACGTCTCAATGCTTGTGTGCTAATCCAATGGCAAACGCCAACTTATAACTTTACTTATACATATACTCTTACTTATACATATACTTATATTTATACCTATAATTATATATGTATGCTTTCATTTACTAAAGAAAACGAATATACTCTTTTCACTTTTATAAGGGGCATCAGCTAAGGGGCCAGCTATTTGGGTTAACATATATTTGATTATTTTACAATCTATAATTGATCTATTTATATTATTTATGCATAATTCCACATTCAGTTTATCCTAAATACCTTTGGCATTATTCAAGCTATTACTCACTCGAAATACTTCAATATCAAAGAGAAGAAAAAGAGATTAAAAAAAATTTTTTTTCGAATATTGCTGAAATTGTCCCCAATTTGACAATGGGCAACGCGCTGCAAACTCGCAAAAAGGTGCGAAGCTGCCAAATGAGCAACACGAGGGCAACAAATTTGCAGCTGTTGTTGTTGTGGTTGCTAATGTTGCTGTTGCTGTTGCTATTGTTGTTGTTGTTTTCGCCTGTTGCCGGCCGAATAAAAAACCAGTAAATGATTTCACAGCCACAGCCACAGCCGCAAGAGAGTCGCAGTCGCAACTTCGACTCAGAGTTCGAGTCCAAAAACTAACAAAATTTGTAACATATTCGGCAGCAAAATATTTAAGTTGTTCATGTTGTTGGCGCTGTTGTTGTTGTTGTTCGTGTTGTTGTTCGATGCGTTGTTTTTGGTTATTGTACATAAAGGCAAAGCGACGCGGCGTCGGTTCATTGAACCGTTCGCCGCTGACTCTGACTGACTTATTGAATGACTGAGTCTCAGCAACTGCACCAACAACAACAACAACAACAACAACAACAATAAGAGCTCCATCGAAGGCTGCACAGATTATGTCACACATTTTCAAGTGGGGAGTATAGAGGCGAAGGCGGCGGCGGAGGAGGTGCCACAGCTGCCGAGAGAGCCAGAAGGGGGGCAGGCAATGTTGCACTCGTGGTAGCCATGTTACAACATCAATTGCGCGCGCCAAACAGCAACAACAGCAGAGCAGCAGCAACAACAACAACAACAACTGCAAACCGAAACCGAAACTGAAAACCTAAAAGAAATCGTATCTGAAAGATACGGCACTCCAAGCTCTGGCGCTGCTGTTGCATTGCATCTGTATCTGTAGCCGTAAAACTGTTTATGCTAAATATCTGTGCTGAATCATTCGACAAGCTGCTGAGCTGCTTATTGAATTGGGTACTAGAATTAATTGGTTTCCTTACCAGTTAGGGCAAACGAAATATGCAACTTTTGACATTTACAAAAATGCAACGAAAAAAAAAATTAAAGCTGCAAATTAATCAAATTTGATAGTTTGTTTGCATGTGTACATAATACTTAAGGATACATTTACTTTCTTTTTTCTGTAAGAAATGCCTTTAAATGGAAAGGTCTTATAGCAGCTGAAGTATTTAATATCAATGATTTCCTGCTTATTTCTTAATTCATTTTTTTTTTTCATAAATATTAAACGTAAATTCGTAACATAGATTTATTCGGCAGTGAAATCCTCTCAAGCTCCGATTTTCTTAACATATCACAATTCCATATTAATATACAAATTACTTAAATATCTCGAAATTACTCCTCGACTGCATACAGCCACAATTTGTTAGCACTTTTATCATTTCAAGTATGTATCTCATAGATACATTTGGCTGCATAGATACTCAGCAATTGAATATCAAACTGTAGCTGTTTGATCTGTAAATATTTGCTCAGTCAATTGCATAATGAGCTGGCGAGTTGACGACTTTTCTTTGCGTTGTACACAAAACGCTAGCTCCATCTTTAGCTGCCAGTAGTCCTCCAACTCCGTTAGGCAGTGATGGGGCAGCTGGAGTGAGAGAGAGGAGGGAGGAGGGAGCTGCAATGGGTCGCATAAAAATAAGTGAAAGTCAAATTGTATTGACGCATTGAGCGCATGAACAAATTAACTGCGCAATGAGCCACAAACAGAGAGACGGACAGACCGACGGACCGACGGACTGACGGACCGACTGAGCGGCACGCATATGTATCTGTGTGACGGTGTGACTGTATCTGAATCTGTATCTGTATCTGCGCCTTTGTATCTTTGTTTAGCAGTTGCAGCAATGGCAACAGCTACACTTTTCCGTGGGCCTTTTGCTATTTGGTTTTTGTTAAGCGAATTAATTTTAAGAAAAAAATTATTAAATGAGCTACAACAAATGGACAACAAATAGCGAAACAAGTTTTGTTTGTTATTTATTTATATAGAGTSTGTGTGCGTGTGTGTGTTTATTTTTGGCTGTGGCAGACACTTATGCAATGCACCAGATTGCCGTTCCAGTATAAACGGAGAGGCAGAATATTCAGAGACTCGAAAAATGAGTTGAGTCACAGCTATTTTGACTCTTATCAGTCGAGTTGTAGATAAGCTCTGTCTAGTTCTCACTAAAAAATTTTCGATGAGTAATTGCTTCAATGATGGCCTGATAAGAGCGAGGGGGAGTGAGTGAGAAGGAGAGAGAGAGACAGAGAGAGTGAGATAATAGAGGAAGAAGTGTATTTGACAGTCCAAACAGCTCGCACAGCAGCAGCTGTTGCTCTGTTAATAGGAGCGTGAGAGAGTGAGAGCCAATTAGTTTATCAGCGTGACAGAATCGTATTCGAACTCGAGTTCGACTTCGACAACGAAGCTCATTTTGAAATTCAAATGTGGCATGCTTCCAGCTGGCTGCTACGCAACGCTTTGAATTTGGGAGTCCGAGTTAAGTGTGAAAAGCGCGCACAGCAGGTGCCCCAAGCGAAGTCGAAATGGAAGTCGACTTCGAAGATGGAGTTAAATGTTGGCTGGCTTATGGCCAGTGTGGGCGTGGCAAAACTTTCACAAATTAATAACACTCGAGCTGGCAGAACGTACGCAGGCAAGCAGAAGCCACCGCTGGCGAGTTCAACAGACGAGCTGCTGAATTGAGCTTTGGCTGGAGTCGGCGCAATAATTGAATGTACGAGGTGAACGGCGAACTGGCGATCGGCAGCTGGAAGAGAATACAAGTTCAAAGAACAGACTCATAAGCGATATAGATACACGTGATTATATATAAGAGTAGCTAATGAGAGCTGGTAATGGGTGTTAGTAAGTGGAGCACGTTTGAAGAATGGGAAACAGTATTTTCTATTCATAAGAGCGAACAATCAGCAGCTGCAAAGGTCGATTGAGTAGAAGCTATTCAGCTCGTATAACAGGTCGTATGATTGATATTTAATATAAGAATTCGCTGAGATGCGCAAGTAAATCATATTTGAAATTTAGGCTACATACAAACTATGTAATTTCTGATAAATGAGAATAATTCAAGAATTATCCACCTTCAAACCATCTCTATAGGCATAAAATATTTGAAGTATGTATATTTATATATTTTTTCTTGTCAAAATCAACTTTTTTTTTTTTTAAATTAACTTATGATTTATACAGATAGTCGATAAAAAGTTTGGTCAAATAGTTGCTAAACTAGCTTTAAAGCTATATCTTCACAATCCACACATACGCACACACAAATACAGTTGATCGCAACCTATTGGGCCGCAAAGGCAGATGACGAATGGCCACAGTAAAACGAAGTAATAAAAATGAAAAAAGAATATAACGTAGTCTCAATACGAACGGCAAGTGCAAATAGCTTCGCTCCGGCAACGGGGTTCGAGGTTCGTTATTTGGTCAATGGCCCGCCTAGAATGGGGCGTAGCTCAGCTCAGCCTTAGCTTTGATCGGGTCGCTACACCCAGAACGCAGAGCTCAGTTAAAGTGACTTTCCAACTCTCTGCGTCTGCGACTGCGACTGGTTCTGGTTCTGGTTCCCATTCTGGTGCTGGTTCTGGTTCTGGTTCTCACTCTTGGGCTGTCCGCGTGCGCTGGTAATTTGTAAATTGGTTCATAATTCGGTTTCATCAGCGCAGCCCGCCCGCACAGCTCTCTCTCTCTCTCTCCCTCTCTCTCTCTCTCTATTTAAGAAGCTAAAGTAATTTTTATATATACAACTTTTTTGTTGTTTTGTTTTTCAGTTTGGTTTTTTTTTTTTTTTTTTGGAGACAGCGGCAATGCGTTCGTTGGCTTCTCTTTTGTCTGTCTGCTATGCTCGTGGGGGAAAACAATCCAAAAGCTCACAAATGAAATGGGTACAATCAACTAACTGTAAATAGTTTTTATTTCTGCCTCTGCTTCTGCTGCTGCCTTCTCTTCGTCTTCTTCTTGCTCTTTCATCAGTCTCTGTTGCTTTTTGTTTTGGACTCGCTGCTGTGCCAGTTTTGCTTATGAACCGACCGACGCAGAGACTGACGGACAGACAGACAGCAGGCAGACAGCGCGTTATAATTTTCTATTTTCTACAAGCTACGATTGCCTCAGTCGCTGCCCCGTTGCTTCGCCCGCTCGAGCGCCTAATGGGCTCTCCCTTGCCCATACTTCCCCCTTGGCCAGATTGTTCGTCTAATGCGCTCTTCTCCCCTCCCCTCTGCCCCAGCCGCTCCCTCACACCCTTTAGAATTGGTCTAAACATATTCGAAGCTGTTGATTCGCGAACATCGATTCGCATTTGGCATATGCGAAATTTGCATATTTGGTCACTTGTTAATTAATAAACTTCGCTAAACGTAAACAAGTAGGTGGCAACTGTCAATAAATGATGAACGAGGCGATGCCCTGTATTTCGAAAAGTTTTATAAGATCTAAGTCTCACAATATATTTGATTCATACATAAAAAATTGTGGACAGAACTACACCTCATATAAGGAAGGAAAAAACGAATCTTTTATTTATATAATATAACGGATTTATCAATATGAATTTAACTTACCTAAAACGAATCAGCCCAAGTTCATCACATCTCTATTTACAGGGTATACAAATATTTCTTCTAAATGAATCAAATAAATCCCAAGTGTTGACATTATCGTATCTGCTGAGCTAAGCGTATGCTTTGACAGTTTATTGGTTTCCAAAATTCTGAAATGCCAAAAGTTAAGCATAAAATATATCAGGTGATAGCCGAATAGATTGCCAGACAAACATTAAGGAATTGATTAAGCATAGTATGACTATTTAATTGATTTCAATAATTTAAATGCTAACGGTTGTTTGTGTACCTTCCCATACGAATAATGACTACAATAGCGTATAATTATTTAACAAAGTTGACTTTGACATTTTGTGCGACAGCTAAGAAAAGAGAATGATTGCTAAATAGCCATAGCTACCCTACATACGTACATGTGTATGTATGTATGTGTGTATATGCATAGAGACACAAACTTCAACTACAGCTATTATTATGTACGAATAGAAGGAGGAGAGGGAGTGAGGGCCCGGTGCACAGGTCGAGTCTTGGCTCGGCTAAACAAGGAGGTCAGTGCATGAAGGTTAGCGGCAATTTGTGTCGACAACATCGTCAGATGCTGCATCCAAAACAAAAGCAAAGCTTGAACCGTTGCTTGCTCGACAGATCGATGAAATGGCAACAACAGCTACAGCAACAACAATGGAAAGAAATAGAAGAAGCAGAACAACAACAGCAACAGCACCAACAACAATAAGTCAATTGCATTGGCAATAATAAATAGAAGAGAAACTGCAGCAGCAAAGGAGAACGCCAGCTAACTCCCCACTTCTCCTTTTAACCAACACTCACCTCTCTCACACTGCTTCGCACTCCTCTTATTCACCAAAATCCCCTCGTAGTCACACGTCGCAGCAGAGATCGGCAACGAGCTAAACAAAATGCTTCCTCATCATCGCCGTCGTTCGGCCTAGCGGATTTACAATGGATGCGCTTTGCCGGCTAGGCAGTGTGAGAGAGAGAGAGAGAGAGATAGATAGAGAGAGGGAGTAGGCAGAGCAGGCGGGGTGAGTTAGGCTAACCAGTTAGGCGTTGGAATTGGAATTAGGCGAGCACTGAAGAGCGAGCGAGACAGCGGCGCATAGGGTATCAGTTGACGGTCGATGCGTGGTGGAATGCTTCGCTGCTCGGGTCCAGAAATTGGCAAACAATAAAAGCCTTCAAAAAAGTGCAGCTACAATAACAGAGTGAGAGAGACGGAGAGGGAGAGAGAGAGAAACAAGCAGAGCAAAAAACGCAAAACGAAGCATTAGGCGAATGGAAGAAAAGCGAATAGAAAAAACAACAGTTTGAAAAGTTGATTGTTTAGTTGAAGCGAAAAAAATACTATTGTTGTTGTTTGCTGGCTCTGAAAAGTGGAGCGTCGATTGAAGCAGTCATAGAAACAGCGCTGAGGAAGAGAGAGAGAGAGAGTGAGAGAGGGAGGTTGGGTGGGATGGGGAAGTTTATATGCAGTTGCATTTGCAGTTGCAAATGAACTGAGGCTAAGCGCCGAGTGCACATTCTGACTGATTTGAGCGAGTATGTGCAAGAGAGAGAGAGAGAGAGAGAGAGAGAGAGAGAGAGAGAGACAGAGCAAGAGCGAGAGCGCTTGCGATCTTAACTGGTGAAAGATACATTTCAACTCTTGTCAAAAATGAAAATCAACTTCAAACTTGTGTGTGGCAAACAGACAAATGTGTTGGAAGAAAGCGCACAGGGAAAACAAATTTGTAGAAAGGGGTGCGCATGCGGCATGGGGCATGCGGCAAGCGGCACGACTGCGCAGTCGCCGTTGACTGACTGACATTTTACGGCATTTTTTTTAAGTATTCTTTTTTTTTCGACTGGAACGCAAAAGGCGCCCGAAGTGTAGCCTGACAAATGCATAAAACTCGAAGCTGGAAGTTGCCAACTGCCAACTGCCAGTGGAAGGCTGCAGGCTTCATCACAGAGATGTATGCAGCAACAACGGCAACAACAACAACATCGACAACAACCACGAATGATGATGACGACAGCAGCCTCGACGTTGACGTTGTAGCAATTGAATTTTTGCACGTCGCCCATGAAGTTGTTTGTTTGCTTGGCATCCGTAGCTCCACAGCTCCACGGCTAGCCAGCTCTCCACCTCCCACTCCCCCGCCCATCAAACGCCGTCCATTGTTGTTGCTGTTTGTTGCTGTTGCTGCTGCACTTGGATGAAAAATAGTGGAAACGGTTAACGAAAAAAAGAGTAAAATGTTTGTGTGTTTGATTTTTGTTGCTGTTGTTATTGTTGTTGTTGTTGTTTCTGCTGTGCGCATATTTATGTTTGCTTTGACTTACCGTTAGACGGTTATATGGCGGATTACATTTGGCACTGCTGGCAAATTATCTGTGCCGAGTATCTTTTTCAAGCTCCAACTGAAGCAAAGTGTTCGTTGCTGTCTGTTGTTGTTGTTGCTGTAGTTGTTGCCGCTGCTGCTGCTGCTGCCACTGATGTTGTTGCTACAAGTTGATGGCACTTGGATAAAGCCTTTTGTGTATAGCGAGTAGGTTCTCAGGCCTGACATACACAGAGAGAAATTGTAGAAGTCTCCATGATATTTACTTAAAGAAGGGTCTCAATTTTTACATAAGACTTGTTTATATTAGATAAACGAATGAGTTATCTTATATAGGTAATCCAATCTATTATAGGTAAACTGATTAAAATTTATATTTGGCGTAATGAAAATATATTAATATAATTTTCTAGTATTATCTTCCATAACAATTCTTTATTTCGTCTGTTCTTCAGGAATTACCTATCCATCCATCTGTCTACATACTCTTTCCAGGCCGTGTGAATACATTCACTTCTATCCCGCTAATTGTCGCTTTTGTTGCTGTTGTTGTTGTTTTGGACCTCCTAGGGATATTTGGGTATTTGCTAATGATGATATGCTATTGGCTTGGAGGCCTAATTGTTCGTGTGTGTGTGTGTGTATATATGAAATACGGCGACCCGTTCTTTAATTTACAGTTCAACTTTCAACTTGCCGGACTTTCGCAGCAAGTGACACACACAAACAACAAAATGAAATCAAAACAACAGCAGAAAGGAAAGGAAAGGCCCCTCTGTTTATGTAGCTGCAGCTGCCCACCTGTCCTCCAGCCCAGCTGAACCGCCTCTTTGTCCCGCCTCCCCCCGTAGCTGAGCGGCCAGCGCTTAGGCAACTGACTGACGCTCGTTTCGCACAACTTTCAAATGGCCACTGCGATCATTGGGCGAGTATCGAGTATCGAATATCGAGTATTTGAGTATTTCAGTATTTTGAGTCGTTTTGTTTTGGCCAGTCTTAAAGCCAKTGGCGTTTGGCATAATTATTGTTGTTGTTGTAGCTGTTGTTGCGGGTAATTGTTGGCGTTTTTTGCTTGACGGAGCAGCATCTGAAAAGAAGGTCGCACAGGGTGGTCCATGTTGATTCGCTGGCCTGAGTGTTGTTTATGTAACTACTCTACATTGCGGTTCGATTGACTATGGAAGCTGTCAAGTTTGATTGAGGAGGGAAGGAAGATCGTATAGGGTAACTGGAACTAATTAGCTGAAGTAATTCGTGTCTATACTACGTTTAGGGTGATTCGCACTTTTGACAGTCACACAAGATATTTATCGACTAAGACAGTATGCCTTGCTTTGTTTGTCAGTTCTACTTTCCCATTGCTAATCATCACACATATGATTTTATTGTCAAGTAGATTTTTATTCAGCACACATCTACACAATTTATCAGACGCTCACTGAGTACAGTTCTTCCATAATATACAAATTGAATACGTTGATTTAAATTTAAATATTTTGTAGATTGTTCCGCTTTATCGTCCGCAATTATGTTCGACTGGTTATATTCGCCAGCTATGCTTGGTGTGCTTATTGCCCTCTTTCCCATAGTCGTTGCTCTCAGCAAAATCATACGACAACGGAGGAGGACTCGTACAATGCGCATCAGTGAACGCCTAAGCGATTCGACTTCACCCGAATCGGTGGCAGGCGACGAGCCCGAGAAGTCCGAAAAGAAACGGCGCAAGTCCAACGCTCTTATTGATGATCAGCAACTGCTGCTTATGAGAGGCACTGTCGATCTGATCACCTACCGTCTCTCCCTAATCGAGTCCAGCATCTACAAGGATCTCAATCCGAAGCCACATCTGACTCACGAGGAGTACATGGCCGCAGCTAAGCAAATGAAGGATCTCGTGCGTCTCTTGAAGCATATGCCAAAACTCCCATTGTCAATGATGGAAGAATCCATGGACATATCTGAGGGAAATCTTTGAGTAGAGCAATTCGATAGAACCCAGGGTCGTTTCATTTGCAATTTGACAGGACGATGAAATTCACCCTGATTTTATTTTAAAAAAAAACCTTTCAATAAAATACGAAAAGTATTATATAATATATTATATATAGCTCACATATCAAAGATCCTCATATCAGGCTTGAAGAAGTGTATTCAAGCGTCGGCTGTCTGTAGTTCGACTGACTGATTGGATTATTTTCGTTTCATTTGGCTTTAAATTTAATGTGCCAGATTTGAAAAACCTGTAGCTGAAGCTGGAGTTAGAGTTGGAGTTGGAGTTGGAGCTGAAGTTAGAGACGGCGCAGATCGCCTGAGGAAATGGCTGAGGAATTGCAATCAAAGCGCTCTCTTTTTCATAGCCTCTCTGACTGCTTCTCTCTCTCTCTCTCACTCTCGCTCGTTTGTTGCTGCTGCTATTGATTTTCACCAAGGCAACAGCTAGCAATTGGATCTCCTCTGGCATCTACGTTTGTGTGCATGCAAAAGACTTGCCCCGTCTTATGGCTCACATGCCAGACTCTTGTTGCTGTTGTTGTTGTTGCTTTGGCATTGACGTATTGCTGGCGCAGGGGGCGTCACACTCTGATATTTGTCGCTGTTTATTGTTCAACAATTTCGGCAATCGATTCGACTCTTGAGCCGACTCTTGCACAGCATTTGCATTTCAGCGCTGAACTTTAATGTCTGTGACACAGAAGTTTGATCGGAGAGCTGTTGCCGGATCGGCACAGTTGTCAATCAAAAAGTCAAATTCCAACTGCTGGCAATTTGTCTGCACAATTGAGACGAAAAGCGAATGTGACATGGCCCAAAGAATGCGACCAGTGGCCGCAGTCAGGTATAACAATTCGCATATTGCGCATACGCCGCGTGTGCGCCTTCAACATTTAATAAGCCGGCGAGTTACGAGTACGGGGCACGCGAATCAAAACGCCAATCGCCTATCGACAATCGACTTAGCCCAGGAATGCAGACAGCCGGCCAGCCAGCTAGTCAGACAGATAGACAGACGGACAACAAGCAAGACAGATAAACATGTGACAATTCACAATTGCAATTACAACCATAATATACTGCTCGAATGGGTTACGGCTTGAAATTAACCCAAGGCAATTAGACGACAGTCCATAAAACGAAGAGAGGGAGCAAGAAAAACTTGAAATGCTGCTGGCCAAAGAGAATGTGTAGCATGTGCCAGATATATATAAGGCCGAGATATTATATAATGATAGTAATGGTCCTACCTAAACTAAAATTATGATTATTTTATTAGGGAAGAGAGCGGAATATTATTTGGATTCAAATTGAGAGCTGATCAAATAAAATTGTAGCGAAATTCAAATTTAGAACAAGAGTTAGATTAATATATAGGAGGAGAAATGAAAAGTAATATATAAAATTATAGAGACATTGAAACATATAAAGATTTCTTGTATTTTAATCTGAGCTTATATTCAATTTTTCGTCTCGCTTATATACGCGAGAGTCGCATAGTTCGGCTTCATTTCTATGCAAGTTTCTGATGTATTTATTCTGTGTTCCGAAAGGAGCTATCATCGATCTAATAGTTGTATGCATTATGCTTAACCCATCAGCTTCCATAACTCCGCTAGTTGAAGGCCGCAAGCAGCTTTACCTCCACATGCGCAAATAAATTAAGTCTTTAATCAAATTCCATTTGTTTTATTAGATCTGCCTCGGCTGGCTCATATGATTGTTCCGACTGTCAAGTCCTTGGCATCGCCCGTTACTGCTGGCCAACGAAATCTGAATGGGTTAATCGCATTGTGCTTGACAATTACGAAGCCAAGCAAATGCTTAACAATAAGCGAATAATTTTTCACATGACATGCAAATTTAAGATCGGCAAGGCAATTGGGCAGCCGGTTTAAGCTTTTGTGCAACATGTTGCATGTTGCACGTTGTATTTGGCCATTCGGCCGAACGCATTTTACCGATCAGCTTGACAACGGCCACGCCAAACGGTCAATGAGCCATGCAAGCACATGCATGTACATGCTAGATACTGCCACAATCACAACAGCAACAACAATCATATATATATATTATATACATATATAACTCTATAAAGCTATACGATTTCTATGCTAATCGAATAGCAAACGCAGACAACTGAATAATGAGTTGGCCGCTTGCCGTTTGACTTACATGTGTTAACAGTATTTACTGTTTGAATGCCCTGTAATTGCTGCGGTTCCAGGGTATCGAAGACTATGGCGGCTGAAAGTAAAGTTGAGTTTTTTTTGCTAATAATATATAATTGCTAATATATATAAAATTTTATATATATTTACATACGTTACACTAAATTCATATAAAGGCACAATTATAATATTGTATACAGGGTAAAATTACAGCTGCGCACTCTCTCAGCCTAAGATAAGCTTGTTTTAGTCAGGCTTAACAGGTCAGCTACAGTGTGTTGTATTTAAATGCCAACTGTTTCCAGCTTGAACCCTATATAAACTATAGTTTAGATCGCATTCATGACATAAGTAAAGCTCGTTGAGGTGCGCATATTTAGGGCTCAGCTATCGCAACAAGTGAATCGTTTGCCACAAATTGTTGCAACAGCAACGTGTCACGATCCTAGCGCCCAGAAATCGCAGAGAGCAAAAAAAACGGACAGAGCGACAGACAAATGAAACGTTTTGAAAAGCTGCCTCACATGTGAGCCAAAGGTGCAGAGTTATGGTTATGGCTATATGAGCTTATAAGTGCTAAAAACTAAAGTTAGACTCGACCAACAGATGCCCTGGAATGGGAAAATTATAAATAAATAACAGAGTTCCAGGCTGTGCAAGGCATTGAAGGAGACAAAATAAATTTCTTAGTATAGATCAAATAATTGCTTATGTATTTCAGGGTATTCTGGTTATCCTCGTGCTATGTTTAATAGGCCTATCAATAATAAGCCCCGGAATAGCTAATGTTAAATATGCAGCAAATATATTTAATGCATCCATAAAGCATAAAGCAGCTTTGCCTGCTGTTGCATTACGGGGTATATCACTAAATGCAACACTTGCCACCTAACAACAATCGCTTGAAAATCGGCCACAAATGAGCTGCGCGAACGACTGTCGAAATTGTGTTTGGCTATAAAACTAACCACAAAGTAGGAGCCCAGCTAGCGAATTGGACAGACTCTGGTGGTGGCTGTCATAAAAGCCTTCAGTCATATGGAAGCTGGGAGCCGCTGGAAGCTGGCTTGCCACAGGTTGCAGCCGAGCCCAGCAACATTTTGTGGCAATTGCAACTTTATTTTGCTCAAACACAAAATATTTGAACGTCGTCAGAAATGTCAGCGTGGCAAAATTTAATAAACAGCAAGCAGACAAACAGACAGGCAGCATTTTTTTTATTTTTTGGCCATGCAACATGTTGCATAAAACACAAAAAAAAAAAAAACTTAAATACATATATAAACATATATGTATATATAGAAAAAAGGCAGTCAAAATCTGACAAGGAAAATATGTTGCACGCGTCGCTGCTTCGATTTTTGTTAAATTTTTCACATTCCCAATTTGTGAGCTGCAACAGATAAAAATGGGGTGGGCAAGCCAGGTTGAGGGGTGTGGCAAATACATATATGTGTGTGTGTCTGTTTGTTGTGCACCCAAATATTCCCACGATTCATTTATTATGCGTGCCTTGCAATATATTATTTAATTGAATTTATTTGCTTGAATGGAAATGCAAAAAGATAATGCCAAAATAAATCATTTATCAAAGTGCTTCACTCTTGCTGTTGTCTTCAGTTGCTGTCATATTTATTGGCAATACAAATTGATTAATTATCGAACCCAATGCGCTAATTGAGAACTTTCTTGCCTGCCCGCATGATCGATCGCATTTCTCATTCGGTTGCACGCTGCGTATGCGCAATGCGCAGTGCGCAAGGACAACGCATGCAGCGTAACTCGCTGCAGTAGCCGTCTGCTTGGGCTGACATCATTAACCATGTCAGGGTCAATCGCAACGGCTCTTCAACTCTTCTCCTCTCTCCCTTTCCCCGCTCGCTATCCACTAGCTCAGCTTAGCAAACACTCATTAATCATCTGCCCTCATTGATCGTCGCGACTGCAGCTCATTCAAGAGCTGTCCGTGCGCCAAAAAGTGATTGTTTTTGCTTATTACATAATAGCGCCGGCTACCCACAAGAAAGTGAAGCAAAACAAAGTGAAATAAGTAAACAAATAAGTGAGAAACATAATGAAGCTGGGAGTACCCTAACCAAAATGGAAGAGCATGTAGCTTTAGTTGAGGCACGATATTAAAGGGAATTTATTTTTTGTAACTGAATTTGTTTCCATAAGAAAATTCCCTGTATTTGAAGTTGTTGATAACATAAGATTTTTTAATTATCAATTAATAAATTATACATTTTTTTCTTTAGTTTCAAATATTATTGGAATAATTTTTGTTGGTATTGAATGGTTCCAATCTCTTATATATCTTGCAGGCAGTATATCCTATAGCATAGGTAATATTAAGCTCTAATTAAATTATTTTATTTTTTTTTTTTATTTTTGACTATTTGATTTTGTTGCTAAACTGTGATTATCTATCGGACTTGCGATACTGTGTAACAAATTGTAAAATTAGCTAATACATTTGGTATTTTTCTCCCCCGTTGCTCTTATATATCAAAGGCACCCAGGCCAGTATCCTACTTCAGATTTGTTCTTGAGAAAGGCAACTTTAAAGCACTTTTCACATTCTCATTCAAATTTTGCCAAGGTACCCCAACTAATATTAGTTCCAACCCCGATCCCATTTGGTATTACCCCAAATAAGCTTCATCTACCATAAAAGCCACTTCACATACTCTTTTATATTTGGTCCCTCTTGCAAATTGTATGACATAATCAAGCAAACCCTAACTCAAATCAAAGCAAGGCCCACTTCCAAAAGTGAACCAAAATCGTAACAATTCGTGCAAATGGAAGCAGCTCAATTGACTCTCTAGTTACGAGATGCGAATGATGCTACGAGTGCGTCTCTATAGATGGGACAAGAGTATCTCTCTCCGAGGGCGATGCTTTCGCTTTGCCTTTCCACCTGCCGTKGCCGTTGCCTTTGCCTTTGCCTGCTGGCCACTTGAGCAAACACCAAAAGCAATCTGTTGGTTGTTGTTGCTGGCGTTTGCTTCCGGCGGCAGCAGCAATAGCAGCTCGTAAACGAGGATGGAGGCGTTTAAGTTGCACATAGCCAAGGCCAGAGGAGCACCTCTATAAAAGCTGTCGATTCACATGGTAATGGCATCAGTTCAGCTCTTTAGTTCATATCAACCAGATCAGATCAGCCAACGATCACTATGAGAGTCTTCCTTTGCTTGCTGGCGATTGGCGCCGTAGTCAACGCGGGCTACATTGGCGGTGGTGCTGGCGGTGGCGGTGCAGGTGGTGGCGGACATGGACATGGACATGGTGACTCTGGCGGCGGACCCGAAGTCAAAGTTATCAAAATAATACACGAATCGTCGGGTGGCGCAGGCGCTGGCGCTGGCGGTTGGGCAGCAGGAGGCGGCGGTGGTGGTGGCTGGTCAACAGGCGGCGGCGGTGGCGGTGGCGGCTATGGAGGCGGCTCTCAAGGTGGACAGGATGTTAAGATTATTAAAATCATTACGCAGCCCTCAGATGGTGGCTATGGAGGTGCCTCTAGTGGTGGCTGGTCTGCAGGTGGTGGCTCCAGTGGTGGCTGGGCTGCTGGTGGAGGCGGCGGTGGTGGCTGGTCGTCCGGAGGCAGCGACACCAACACAGCTGTAAAAATCATTAAAATCATCACAGAAAGCGGCTCAAGTGGTGGTGATGCCGCAGGCTGGTCCGCTGGTGGTTCAGCAGGAGGCGGTGGTGGCTGGTCTTCGGCAGGTGCGGCAAGCGGTGGTTGGTCCTCGGCTGGCTCATCAGGCGGTGCCGGTGGCTGGTCGTCGGGTGGCCCTGCAGCTGGCGGCTGGTCCTCGCCAGGTCCTGCCAGCGATGGCTGGTCCTCCCAGGGCGGCGGCGGTGCCAGCGCCGGTTGGTCCTCTCAAGGCGCCGGCAACGGCGGCAGCTGGTAAAACTTTGCTTAACTTGTGATAAGCTCAAATCTCATGCAATTTCATCTCTCATGCGCCTCAATTCATTAACTTTGTCTTATTGCTCGCCCTATTTGTTGAATAAAAAACTCTTTATAATTTCCACAATCAATATTTAACTGAAGAGAGGCGAAAAATCGTCTCAAACTTTTCCATTTAAGGCATCGAAAAAGAGAAAAGAAAAACTGCATTTGAAAGTCGCAGACAAAGGAGAAGGCAACCAAACTTTGTCTGCCTCTGTCTCACTCCCCCTATTTCTCTCTTTTTGCCATATCTATAGCTTAACTTAAAAAGAGAGAAAAAGAAACACACTTAAGCGTAAAGTAATAAAATTCAAGCAACCAAAAAAATGTCGAAGAAAAAAGCAGAAAGAGCTGAACGAAATGAAAAGAAGAAAAACCAAAATAATAAAAAGGAAAATATGTAAAATATCACTTTGAGGCGGCGCCAAGGATACCAAGGATACGATGGATACGAAGGAGCCTCACACTTAGCCAGCATAAAGGCCAAAAGTGCAAGAAAAAGCTTTTGCCTCGCGCAGAGGGCATCGAGGGGTTGTCTGCACACTGAGCGAGCCGGGTCAGGGGAGGTTGCTGGGGGCCACGAGTTTTTTCTTCTTGTATAAAAATATTTTCCATATAAATCTAACAAAGAACGTGTTCGGGTTACTTGATTAGGCGCCCAAAAGTGTGCAAATTGTGGGGGGCGGGGCGGCAGAGCGACGACGACAATGCCAACAACAGTTGCAGGAGCCACAGCAAGAAGGGAGACAGAGAACGACTAGGAAATACCCTGTATGGTTTGCTCTACACTAGAATAGAGCAGTTGGATATAGAAAAAAGGAAGTATAGACAGTTGAAATAGACATATTGTGAGAAAGAATAAAAGTTAGAAATTCGTACATGTTAATACGCGCCCGTTACATACTCACTCATACAACGGACATACCCATAATCTTCTGAGCGAAATAGGATTGGAGGAAGTGTGTATAGCTTCGACGACTTCTCGGTTTCCTTAACGCTTTCAAAATAAATACTTATATAGAAATAAAAGAGAGCTAAAAAAGGAAGGCGCAACAAATCCAATTTGTTGTTGTCGCACCCAGCACCAAGCCCCAACCCCCATCTCCCTACCACCCACCCTGACGCCCTCTCTTTGTTGTGTGAGTGGGAGTGTTGAGCGCAAAGTGGGCGCCAGCTTGGTTTCTATATTGATTTATTACTCAATAGCCCGAAAGGAAGTGCGCTGTATATTATTTTGGGAACGATTGCGCAAAGAATTTGATTTGTTCGACGAGAAAATTTGAGAACAACAAAAAAACAATCATTAAAGATCGATACACGCCGTTAGATCTCATCCACAAATCCAACTTGTTGCGCTGAATAAACAAACAGGCGCACACAAACACACATAATTTACTTAATATTTGCTGCTATATATACCATATATATCTATATCTACATATATATTTATATCTCTCTAAAAGTGAAATCCGAATATGTGAAATTATTTGGCTGAGTTTATGGAAAATTTTCCGAGCACAAAATGTTCGCAGTTTGAATTGTTTTATTTGTGCTTTGCTGCTTACCAAATTTGTTATTATTTTAATTTTAATTTTGTTGATTGATGTTGTTGCTGTTGCTGTTGCTGTTGCTGCTGCTTTTGTTGTTGCACGTGCAACGCCAAATTGCGTGTTTGCCAAACAACAATAACAACAAAAGCTAAAGTTAAGTTATCCGTGGACTCCTTTTATATTGACACAAACTGTCTCCCTCTCTCCCACTAACTCTCTCTTTCTCTCTCGCTATCTTCTCTCCGCGTGTGTGCTTAGCTATGTTGACAATGGGCGCGTGTGCAGCGGCAGCATCGTAAGCACACTCAATGAGGCAAATGCAAACAGTTTACGCGACCCTCGCTGAAAATTCTTTTTAACCGTAGTCTTAGCCAACCCCAAAGCGAACAACTTGGGAACAATTGAAAACACTTATCTTTATATAATTTCAATTCAGACCGAGAGTTGACAGAGAGATGAAAGAATTAGTTTCGAGTGGCTGAAAAGCCCGACCAAATGATTATATCTCTAAACAAATAATAATCAATCGGTCAATCAGACTGAATAAACAATTGATTACAAAGTGAATATATATATTATATATACATAATAGCTGATTAATTTCGCATATCACTAAGTGGAAATTTGATAGTCTCGTTCAACGACTGATTTAATAATTGACGCAATGTTTGACTGGTTGGAGGCTCTGTACAATCAAACCTTAGATTGCACAAAGCCTCCAACTAGTCTTGTCTTATATGCAGTTCAGTCTGACAGATCAACACAATGACACAATAACTGACAGATCGGACGGAATTTCTGTCGTTGATTATCCCAACAAATAAAATTCTGTAAAATCATATTTATTGATCAATTATATTATCTACAAAATCAATTCAAAGTCTATTTCAATTTGGCATCTTCACCGAATTGAACTCGAGTTTGTTTAGCTGGCCCAGCACCAAAATCTCCTCGATGGCCTTTTTGGCCAGCAGCTTGTTCTTCTCGTCCAACTTGCGATAGGATGTGGCCCAGCCCTCGGCATAGATGGCAGCCTCGTCTCTTGAGCAGTGGCTGACGCTGGACATATGCAGCGGCTGCAGCTGCTCCGCAGGCGATGTCTGTTCTAATTGCGCTGGTTCTACAGGTGATCCACTGGAAGTCTGTAGCACGTGATCGAACTAAGAAAGGAAGTAATCTTTATATATTTCTCACCTTGCCTGTAATATACTCACAACTTTAGTTTCCGACTCGGACCAGTGATCCATGTCCTCATCGTCTTTAAATTCATTCATCGACTCATCCGGCTTATCCCAGATGCCATCCGTGGTTTCCGTCCCAGTTGCTTTGCCTACTTCGTCATACAGAAATGTCAATTCATTGAAGTACCACAAATGTGGCACATACACCTTGTTCATTTCCTCGTTGTACTCCACTTTACGCAGTTCGCGCCTGAAGCAAGTTCGAATCCCATTGATCTTACGCCGCATGGTGTCCATATTGGCTTTCCCATCGATTTTCTTATAGCACTGCAGCAATTTCTCATACGCTGCCTTTCTCTGCCTCTGATTCTTGTATTGCTCGTCCGATACTCGCCATAGCGCTGGCAATTGCCGATATGTATCGAAGAAGTCTTGCCAGCGATCCGTTTGCGGTATGGCGGTCATTGCAATCACACAGCCAGTAGCGTACTAAGCCTAGCAGAGAGAGCATTCGTGAGAGAGAGAGAGAGAGAGAGAGAGAGAGAGGGGGGCAGAAACAGAATCAAACATGTTCATGTTTGACGCTCTCAGCACACAGAGACGCTTCACACACGCATGCAACTTAATGCCAGGCCTGTTTGGCTTGAGTGCAACATGATGGACTGCAAGCCTATGGACGTTGTCAAACATGCTGCAAACGTTTGCTGCTGCTGCTTAAAGAGTGTGTACGACCGTTTGACAACGCTGTTCAATTGTTCGTCTTAAATTCCCTCTTAAATTCCCCTGTTTTTGTTATTGTTGTTGCTGCTGTTGTTATTGGCGTCGCATCGTCGTTCGTTGTCGAACGTAGAGCCATTCCGTCTGGTCGTCGACACTTCCAGCAGCTGAAGCAGCAGCAGCAGCAGACGTGCGTCGCAGTCGACGCCATTAACGTCGCGACGTTCGCCTCATCGATTTGGCGGCATCGTCTTCTTCTTCTTCTTCAACTCTGCATGTTTGTCGCCAAGTATTCAAGCACACACACTCACACGCACACGCACACAAGCAAGGCAAAAGAAAAAGTTACTAAAAAACTATGCACGAGACCAAAATGAGCGCAAAAGCACAAACAAAATATTATTACTAATTCATTTTGTTATTTTGTTTCATTGCACCCTTTGCTTATATCGCGCTGTCGCCCACTAGCGGCGCGTCGTCGCGATGTCGCCTTGCTTCGCCTACCTCTCCCTACCCCCCTATATAAACGCTCTGGCAGTCGATTGCACTTTTGCACTTCATTGCATTAGCCCACACGCCGTGCTGAACGTCTCTCACTCTCACTCACTCTAACGCACTCTCCTCATTGCCATTCGTTGACTGTGAGCTTTTTGTGCTGTTGTTGCTTTTGTTGTTGTTGTTTCTGCTGCTGCATTTGCTTTGTTTTCGTTTATCGTTTAAATTCTTTCAGGTGGCCGCTTTGCGATTCTTGCGCTTTTGCCGCTGCGGGGAATGTCTGGGGGCCCAGGTCATAAGTAATTTATCATCATACAATATTGAAGTGCGTCGACGCCGACGTTGACGGCAACTACGACTGCTACTACGACACCGACAGCGACAGCGACAGAGACAGCGACAGCGGCATCTGTCAATGCCAATCAGTTGTAAATGATATGACTGACCGATTCTTGGGACTTTCCTTTCCAACTATTGTCGTTGCTGTTGCTTCTGCCGTTGCTGTTGTCAGGTGGTGCCAACTGCCAGACACCGAGTTGACTCCACAACAAAGGAAATCGATTGCTTGAGGAAATGTCTGGTAAACAAATTAAGTGACCAAAGGGCATTATTTATACTGGGCGTGTGTTTAAGAACTTTAAAACGATATTTGATTATTTTGTAAATACTATTTGGATAGCTCCTCTAATTACACTACCGAAATTGTTGCAGGATTTACAAATTACACACACACACAGATGCACACACACGCACTCAATCAGAGACGCACATACACTCAATTACAGTGCAAGCTGCCCAGCAACAATGGCTCGACAGTAAAATGCGATTTCCGACCAAAAAACTTACATTCACACACACACACACATATTTATAAAATTGTTTTTTATTTTTGTTTTTGGGTCTGTGCCTTGTGCTTTGTTTTGTATGTGGGTCATGTCCTTATGAAATATTCAAATGTCCTGAATTAAGCATTTCTGCCATTTCCACTCCTTTTTTATTGTTTGTCCAATTTTCCAGGCTAGCCTCAACTCCCCCTGCTCCTGCTTCTTCTCTCTAGCTTACTCTCTCTCTCTCTCTCTCTCTCTCTCTCTCTCTCTCTATCTGCCTCGGTCTCGCTCTGCAGTTCCATTGTAAAACAAATTGTAAATGTGCCTGATTATGTGTGCGTGTGTGTGTTTGCAGTTGTGTGTGCGATTCAATTTATTTATTGAAAATTTGACCAAACATGCTTGGCGAACAGAGCGAATGCAGACAGAGAGTGAGTGAGTGGGTGAGATAGAGAGAGAGAGAGAGAGAGAGAGAGAGAGAGAGACAATAAAACAGAAACGCATAAAAGCAAATAAATTGGTTACATTTGGTTAACACTCAAACACACAAACAGACAGACACGCACACGCACACGTTTGTGTAAATCCGCAACGGAAGTTTGCTTTTAAATCGATTTTGATTGATTTTTCTCACTGCCAAGCAAAAATGCCTTTTGGACAAAAATCAAAATACATGCCCGCATGCTCTATAGGTGTGTATATGCTCTCTCCACATGTGTACGTGTGTGTGTGTGTGTGTGAGTATAAATGAAATCAAATTGTAAATAATCGAGTCGGAATCGTCGCCTGTTTGTATTTCGCCAGCCCTTTGGCGCTTTTCACTTGAAATCCGTTTGGCAAAAAAAAAAGAAAATACAAAGAGAGAGAGAGGCAGAGAGAGAGAGAGGGAAATCAAGAATTTAACAACAGATCGAAAACACGAAATACAAATATTTTTACTAAAATTATATTCAATATGGTTGTTGTTGTTTAACTTGGTCGCTCGCAGCTCGTTATTTATTTATATTTATTGAATGTGTGTGCAACGCTTTATTTCAATATCGTAAAAAAATGTGGAAAAAGGAAAACAGAAAGAAAAAGAAAAAAAATAAACTAAAAGCCAGCACTTACATTTTTAATACAAAATCAATAAATATAAAAATAAATAAATATATACACATACACGCATATGTACGTATGTATGTGAGTCCATATATTAAAATATGTTGTTCCATCTGAGTGCTTGTTTGTGTGTGTGTGTGTAAGACACTTTTTTATGGCTGCGGGCTCATAAAAAGCGCATAAAGTGGCTTTAACATAGCATAAAAAATGCAGCCAAGAGTGCCAATAGTTAAGCCAGTGTCGAAGAGAGGGGGGAAAGTAGGAGTGGCCGAAAGAGATATTGGGCCAAAGGTCAGTGAATAAAGGAAACTCTCCAACCTCTACGAAGCTCTATCTCTGTCCCCCCATTTCACTCTTCTCTGTTTGGGTGGTCCGATTTGAATAAAATATTAAGCGATAAGAAAAAAAATGAACATGTGACAATAGACGTATCACTAGAAGGTGTGAAGGAGAGAGATACTAAGTATATGAAAGTATGGAAGTATATAATGTATACATACTTCCATACTCTCATACTGCTTTTCAGTTATACACCCAATCATACTTTCATGCATTCATGCCCAAAAGCATTCTTCATTTAATAAGATTCGTATAGAAGAGCGAAATAAAATAAATTATCAATTATTAATTATTAAAATATTCTTTCTTGAAAGTTACCCTGGACAAGGCTGACCAATGCAATAGATAATGAACGCCATTCTCAAGAGAGTAAAGAGTTTCTTTGCCAATTGCATAGTTCTCAGTTGCTAAATGTCTGTTGCTTAAATATACATATAAATAATTATTCCCTTTTAAATTTTATGAAATTATTTTCATGACAACTAATAACAAAATTAAGTAGCTTTGATATTAGTAAGCTTTTAATTTACCATTTCCACATGGGAATGAGAATCTTATGAGCTTTCCTTATCTACATAAGAAAGTCAGTCAAGCATGTCCATAGCGACGTGCAGTAAGTCGTAATTAAAATATCGCACCCATGCTAAAAAAGATTGCCAGACAAAATACCCCATCTGTTTCCCTCACGCACAAAATAATCTTTAAGCTTGCTTTTTTGTTTTTAATAAAAAGGTCTTTACAAATATGTTAAGCTGCTCAGGCAACTTCCATCAAGACCTTTTCGACACCCCTGCACCCAGCTTCTCGTCTCCCATCTTCCCTCAGCCCTGCTCTTCGGTTTCATAGCTCAATTCCAACTCGATTCGTCCACGTCTACAAATCAGGAAAGCGTATCGCGCACGTGTCTGCAATATGCATTAGCACCAAGTAATGCCCATTTTAGCCTTTTCCCGCTAGATTCAGCTTGTTCTTAAATTCACTGAGCAGGCCAATGTAAAAACATATTTCTTTACTTTGAAAATGTTAATATTTGCAGTTTGGTTCTATTTCTAAATACAATATATAATTAATATATTTTTTAAAAATATGTGTATAAAAAATTAAACAAGAAGTTTTCATTTAATCATTTATTTATTGTGCATATTTGCACTTTTCAATGCATATTTTACCCTTAACGACCATTTACCGGAGGACACGGTGGCTCAATGCACGAGATAATGAATGCGATCGCTAGCCACGGGAGAAGACCAATTTGCTTGAACTGCATTTTGCTTGATTCGTTGTTTTAACAATAACATTTTCCTCACCGTCTGAGCCTCTTTTATATCAAACACAGTGTTAAAAATCGCATTAAGAATAATAAAGCGATTTTAACCGTTTTGGAGCTTTGCCAATCGAATTCTTCTCAGTTATGTAATTTGTCTAGCTTAAGCGTGAAAATATTTCTTCTCTATCTATTACAAAACACGTAATTTAAATATCACCTATCTGAAAATATAATTAAGTTGCTTCGATATAAACACACTTCTTAGCATCACAGAAGTAGAGTCACAAAACAGAATAATACTCATTTTAGCTTGATAGCAGTTGAGTAATCTTTATTTCATAACTACTCCAAATTTTTGGAATTCTCCCTAACAGTTATGCTATTTCTTACATAGATGCAACATATTTCCTTTCAGCTTTAATCCCTCGCTTTAATCCATTGTACTTGATACTTGCTTCATGATTCTAGCCACACAAGCAGCACCACACACAGCTACAACCACCGAGAAAAGACTATATCTGTTTAGTATTGATTGCAGAAATCGAGACTGACCAACCCTCGAGTGGCTGAAAATTGATTTGGAAATCTTTTGAAGAGTGGTACACAACATTTATTTTCCGGAACATCCAAAATTAGAAAATACAAAGCCTAACCTATGCATACGCATACATATGGTATATATAATCATGTTTGATCCATTTACTTGCAGTCCTTCATGATCTCCCCAATGGCGAATGGCAAAGTTTTGGTCTTGATATAATCCAAATGTCGAACGGCA